CGTTGCTTTCTCAAACAAAGATGGAGAAACGGGCATCCTGATTTTGTGCCACCACCCTGCTTCCTCCCCAAGGACGTCTCTCTTTCCCCCAGGCCTTTCTCCATTTTCAGCCTTGATATTTGCCAGTTCTTGGGGCTGGAGGGATGGCTCAGCAGTTAAGAACACTTGTTCTTAACCCCTTTGGATGTCAGTACGGCAATTTCTCAGAAAATTAGGAAACAACCTTCCTCAAAACCCAGTAATACCATTTTTTGGTATATATACAAAGAATGCTCAATCGTGCCACAAGGACATGTGCTCAACTATATTCATAGCAGCTTTGTTTGTCATAGCCAGAACCTGAAAAAAACCTAAGTGCCCCTCAATTGAAGAATGGATAAGAAAAATGTAGTACATATACACAATGGAGTACTACACAGCAGAAAAAAATAACAACAGCTTGAATTTTGCAGGAAAATGGAAGGAGCTAGAAAGCATTATTTTGAGTGAGGTAACCCAGACACAAAAAGACAGTTATCACATGAACTCATTCATAGGTGGTTTTTAAACATAAAGCAAAGAAAGCCAGCCTACAAACCACAATTCCAGAGAACTTAGACAACAATGCGGACACTAAGAGAGACTTACATAGATCTAATTTACATGGGAAGTAGAAAGTAGAAAAAGACAAGATCTCCTGAGTAAATTGGGAGCATGGGGACCTTGGGGGAGGATTGGAGGAGGGGGGGAGAGGCAGGGAAGGGAGCAGAGAAAAATGTAGAGCTCGATAAATATCAATTCCAAAAAAAAAAAAAACCCCACTTGTTCTTGCAGAAGACCCGGGTTCAAAACAAGGTGGACAGCGACCTGAATTTGCCTCTAGTCTGCATACCCTCCACACGCACGTGTGCATGCACAGACACAGACACAGGTACACACAGACGCACAGCTTGTCCAGGTTCAACTTAGTAAGAAGTAGAAATTTAAGTGGGAGCATTTAGAAAATTGTGGGGATCTTTTTTTCTTTCTTTTTTTTCTTGAAGTCAGGGTTTCTCTCTGTGGTCTGTGTAGCCCTGGCTATCCTGGAACTCTCTTTGTAGACCAGGCTGGCCTTGAATTCACAGAGAGCAGCCTGTCTCTGCCTCCTGAGTGCTAGGATTAAAGGTGTGTGCATGGCAAAAATCATGTTTTAATTCTTTACCGATTTCCCCAAGTCTGGAAACTGGTAGACTGACTGAGTCCCCAAGATGGCAAGAATGGGGGTTGAGGGGTTCAAGAGCCAAATGAAACCGATACCTGGATTCTTAGTCTATGTCTGTGGGTGTTGCCAGCATTATTCCTGTTATTTTCATGGCCTCCCTGGCTCTGACTTGACCCATGCAGTAGGCCTGTCTGCAAAAGGATGGGTACTCTGAATCTGAGAAGCCAACAGAGGGTCTTGGGAGAGGACCCAGAGTATAGGCTTGAGTGTGCCAGGAGACTGAGGGAGGCTGGAAACATCCTGTGGAGGTCACCTCTGTCCCTCATTGTTTACCCAGCACAGAGGACCAGGGGTCCACATGTTCTCTGATGACTTTTTGTGGGACACAGAAGGAGGTAGAACTGACCTCCTGCTGGGATGGACATTCTGTCTAGGATGCAGGTAGTTACCAACAGTGCACTGCTGACCCCTGTGCTGGTTGGAGCAGATCAGCTGTGGCCTGCTTCTTGGTAGTGGTACAGGACCAGAGGACTGGACCCTGCTACGAATCCCATGTCATTCTGGGTGGCCGTAAAAGTGGTAACAAGGGGACATACTGAAGGGCAGAGTCAGAAAACTTTGGGGAGCTGGCTGTGAGGGATAGTGACCCCAAAGTTAACAGAGGTTGGTGGTGAGTGGGATGCCGGCGGCTGGTACCACAGCTGGACAGGCAGGGCATGGCAGAAACAGTCTGACTGGAGAGGAAGGGCTGGGACATGGAAGCATCTCGAACCTAGGACGGTGCAGTGATCAAGTATTACACTTGAAAAGATTGAATGGGACAGGACCTAGGGAAGGGGCATGCTGCTGGTTGCCCTCCAGTTCCATCTATGGGACAAAGCTGGGGGTTCAGACTGTGTGTCCCCTGTAAGAAGTGGATAGGTTACTGAGGCTTCAATGTGAGGGACAGGCCCTGGGCAGGTGCAACTTGCAGGCCATTCATAGGACTCTCAGGTGGCAGGGGCCCTGGACTGTGGAGCTGGCTGTGCACACATACTTGGCTGTTGTCTGTTGTCTGGGTAGTCCGGCAGGACTTTATTGGTTAGGAAGCTCATGCTGGCTGTGTAGAAGGGGAGGGGCAGTGTGGTGCATGGCCTGGAGCATGCGCTTTGGTCAGAAGTGTCCTGAGCATTGATCAGCAGAAGCCCCGCCCCTGACTAGCAAGCCCTGCCCCACACCTCCCAGCTCCTCCTCCAAGCTGCAGTGCTGGCCTTGGACAGTGCGGTGCGGTGCAGTCCTGCACACAGTGGCTGCAGCACACCGTCCTCAGCCCCTAAGTGAAGACATGGACCCCTCGAGAGCCATCCAGCATGAGATCAGCTCCCTCAAAGGTACAGTCTTGAGGAGCCTGGCTCTCAGACACTCAGTGACCTCTGTCTGGGTGCAGCATCCCTCGGGTGAGCGTCAGGGTCAGCTGTCTTCCTGGTAGCATTGAAAGGTGCTGAGCTGCAGGTGGAGGAACCTAGGCTCTGCTCTTCCAGGTTTCCTCCTAGGACTGGGTGAGAGGAGCTCCTGCAGCAGCCCCGCAGCCCTGCAGTGAGTACTGGATTGGGCAGGGCTGAGTGCAGCAGCAGTACCAGTGGGAGGGTGCGAGCGAGCTTGGCCCCTGAGCAATCAGCCTGCACTCCCCGCCTTGGCCAGATGCCTCACAGATTGGGGTTTGAGCGGGCAGTGTAGGCCTGTAGGGACCTTCATGCTCAAGGCACTAGGCGCCAGACGGGCTGGCCCTGGGAAAGGCCACACTGTGGCTCTTTTGTCCAGGGTTGGGGGGCTAGGGGACTGCCCAAGGGCGCTGTCTGGTTGCTCTGGAAACCTAAAGGGGCCGGCCAGTTAGTGTGGCTGGTCTCTTTCAGTGCTGAATCAGCAGCTCTCGGTGTTTCCGTAAGATAGGGTAGGGCACAGGGAGTTCTCCTAAGCCTAGGGACCCTGGAGACAAGCAGACCCAGACTAGGGTTGTGTGTATGCCTGTGCACGTGGGAGCAGATGTGGGAGGACATGTTGTTCTAGGCTCCTCCCTGCGGTCTCAGGCCTGCAGGTGCTCAGGCTGGCGGGAGGGAGGAGAGAGTCCCTAACCCATTGCTCTGGTACTGGGAACTACTGCCCTCTCCTGCCTAGGGGTGGGATGGGGATGGTGGGGGGGGAGTTAGCCACTGGAAGAGCACCCACGTGGGTCTGAACAGAAGAGACTTCAGGTCCAAGGGCTCAGAGGACTTTAGATGTGGCTGGAGATCCTTTGGCGATGGTGGGGTGGTGAGATATGTATTGGCTTGGGGGGTGTGGGGTTGGAGATTAGATGGAATTAGTTTAGGAAATGATGTCAGGAAGATGGGGGGAATGTTGAGTGGTGATGGGTTAAGTATAGGGTAGTGAGGAGAGGTGTCTGGGGACAGGCCAAGCAAGTAGGAACTTGTTTGAACTGTTTGCACTGTTCCCAAAGCTAAAATACTGGTGTGGAGAATCCTGAGGTCCCGCAGGGATGGCATGTGTAGCGGCTATATACTCTCTCGGTCTTGCAGACCTGACTTAGTTAGTGCTGCCCCGCCCTCCCAGGGCTGGGCTCTGAGGGCCTGGCCCCCTTCCTGCCTTGGCCAGGCTAGGGGCGTGGTACAGGGAGAGCCCTGCCGCAGTGAGCTGGCTGAGTTGGCCTCAGGGAGGGCTTTGGGAACTGTTGGCTGAGCCTTCAGAGTTTCCACCCGCCACCAGCCCTGTGTCTGTATGTTTGGAGTCTGCTGGGGCGCCATGGTGACAGCCCATAAACCCGCCCCACGCACTGCTTTGTTGGCTGCCTGCCTGCCGCTGGCCAGCACCTCCCACCGCAGGATCCCCCACCCCCGCCCTATTTATAATCAGTTCCTGGGTTTGCAGTGCTTGGTGGGAATGGGTGTGTCCGCTTAGGGAGAGCCTTAGTGGCATGTGGGTTTGGTGGGGGCACAACATGGAGAGTTGGGGTATTGGGTGGCATCCGGCACAGACTCTAACCATGATGGACCCTCGGTTATGAGGACCCGGCAGTATTGACAGCTGTGCCAGGCAGTCCTCCGGGCATGTGATAGTTCCTCTTCCTTTCACGTCGGTCCCTAATGGTGTCCTCGCGTCCTCTCCCCAGCACCTGCCCCTCTGGCCACAAGTGGACACTCAGGCTGCTCGGGGGGTAGGGAATTTTTAGATGGCAGGGCCACCAAGCCTGGGGCGTCAGGGACGTGGTGACTTTGATTTCCTGCGGCAGCTGGGAGTCCCTGGTCTCCAACAGCTGCGCTGGAGGTGTGGGTGGGTGGAGGCCTCGCCCAGATCACTCCGCCCTGAGCTCTCTGCAGAGCTCCTGGGCTGGAAAGTGGCTTTGTTCCTGGCCTGGCATGGGAGTGTTAACTTCTGTGGGCATTTGGAGATAGGGGCACTGTCCCTTTCTTTTTCCGATGACAGCAGCAGTGGCACCTAGAGCCAGCTGTCTGTGTGTTCTGGCTGCTGCCCCGGCTCTTCTTCAGGTCTCTGCCCCGGTGTCTCCCCGCAAACCCCAAATTCCTCTCCAGGCCCTAATCTTCTTCCTTTGGACTCTTCCAGTTTTCCAGTTCAGGCAGCCCCTCCTTTCAGATAGTTGTGAACTGATGACTCCGAGATCACAATTTGGGGGGGGGGTGTTCTTACAATGAGGACCCTCCTGCTTTCTGCTCTCCTTTTTCTGTCCATTCTGTCATCTTTTGGGGATGATTCTTGATCCATGTTAGACCCCACCTTGTCCTTCACAGTCTGCAAACCTTGAAGAAGTATTTTAGAAACTGATGTAATTTCTAACATTGGAGCTATATGTGGCCCGGGAAGGGAGGAACAGTTTATTGATGCCCCCCACTCTTCAAGGGGCCCTGTCAGTAGTGGGAGGGGCCGGTCCTGCTGCTGAGTCAGAGGGGGCCGGCCTAGGCGTCCTGGAGGGCGGGCAGGCGGGAGGCTCAGACAGGCAGCCTTGCCGGCAGGAATTCACAGAGCCAGGCGCTGGAGCCACACTGCCCCTGAGCCTGCGCCCTTGTGCTTAGAACCGGAGCCTGCTTGCCTACTTGCCAGTGGCCCCTGCCACATCCTTTGCCAAAGGAGCCTCATCAGCCTTCTCTGGCTGTGCCCCACCTGCTGCCCTCACACTGTGCTGACCGGCAGGCATCCAGCAGCCATGGTGGCAGGCATGCTCATGCCGTTGGACCAGCTCCGGGCCATCTATGAGGTGCTCTTTCGTGAGGGGGTTATGGTGGCCAAGAAGGATCGGCGGCCCCGCAGCCTGCATCCCCATGTGCCTGGCGTCACCAATCTACAGGTCATGCGTGCCATGGCCTCACTGCGAGCTCGGGGCCTGGTGCGGGAGACCTTTGCCTGGCGTCACTTCTACTGGTACCTGACCAACGAGGGCATTGACCACCTGCGCCAGTACCTACACCTGCCACCAGAGATCGTGCCTGCCTCTCTGCAGCGTGTGCGCCGCCCTGTCGCCATGGTGATGCCTGCACGTCGTCGCTCCCCTCATGTGCAGGCCGTACAAGGTCCCCTGAGCTGCCCACCAAAGCGGGGTCCTCTGCCAGCTGAGGACCCTGTCCGTGAGGAGCGGAAGGTCTATCGCAGGAAGGAGCCTGAGGAGGGGGCACCTGAAACCCCTATGGTGTCTGCCACCACCGTGGGGACCCTGGCCAGGCCAGGCCCGGAGCCTGCTCCAGCCACAGGTCAGCTGCATTCTGGCTCCAGGCCGAGAGGGGTGGGAAGGGACTGTGGGTGTTTTTGGTACCTGGGCTTAAGTTTGGTGGGCTGTGGTGGGCTGCACAGGTTGTGTGTATGGGCTCTGTTCATATCAGCAGGTGGCGCCCTTTCTGCCTGAGGGTACTGGATATTCTAGCCATTGAACCCACGTGGCTTGTACGCCTCTGGGCAAATCCTGGTGGGGGCGGGGCCTGCAGGCCCTAAGACTGGCAGGACCAGCTGTTGGCATAGCCCTGCTTGTACCCCTCTCCAGCACTGCCCTTGCCCTCGCCCCCACCTCCTCCTCTCTCCGCCCCGGTGGCCTTTGGAGGCCCCTCTTTTCAGAAGTGGGTGTGTGTAGAAGAGCCATTGGCATGGGACTGACCCAGGCGAACCACTTGAGTCTGTCTTCTATGGTCGAGTGGCTCACAGTCTGCATTATATGACTAGTACAGAGGGTCCCATGACTGGGCCTCCTGCTTGGAGTTGGCCATGGTCTGGCGGTAGAGTGGCTCTAGGTGAGGTGGGAAGAAGGGCAGAGGAGCATTGCCTAGGAGGCCAGAGGCCAGAGCATGGGGTGCTAGCTTAGCCTGTGGTCTAGGTGAGGGTTTTGTTTGTTTGCTTTCCATTTGGGAACCAGATCTTAGAGGATGGGACAAGACCCCATTAGCCAGGAGCTACCAGAAACCACTCTTTCTGTCCTTACGCCCTTCTGCCATCAGGACATGGATGGGCTTACGTGCTTGTGCAGGATCTCCTGAGACACATTGTCCTTTGTGCCCACTGAGGGCATCACAGAACCTCCAGCATTATCCATGTAATGTAGGCAGGTACCAGAACAGCCTGGCGTCCACCTCCCTCTTTGTGGCTTAGGATGTGGGGAGGACCTTACATTGGGCACAGCTGCCTGGGCAGAAGCCTCAGTTCTGGCCTTTCAGGGTTAGACTTCTTTGGCTTGTTGGAGGAATGAGAGTACCTGGAAGGGCTAGGGAAGCTGAAGGCTGAGAATGGCCTCTGGGTTCTCTCCATGGCCTTAGGCATGTTGGTGGCCTCTCCAGCTTTGCTGTAACCATGGCTATGTCTCAGCTCTTTCCTTTTGGGTGTGGTGAGTGGGAGGGGAGCCTTCCCCTGCTTTTCTTGCCTTGCTTCCTCGTCCTTGTGTGGACTGGGCCAGCAGCTGGCAGCTGGACTAGGAGGGGGTTTTGGGTGTGGCTGTAGTGGGCAAAGAGGAGGGCAACTCTCCCTCCCCGTCTCTGATGGAGGTGACTCAGTCTTCCCAGCCACAACCGCCTGTGGCAATTCAGAGTTTCCAACAGGAAATAAGGTCCAGCTTCAGACTGAGTCAGGGCCCCGGGCGGATTCTCCCCACACCCTCAGGACTGAGCTTGGGGCCTTAGGTGCTGGGTGTGGCTGGTGGCAGAGGCATTATAGCTCCGCATACAGGCTGGGGCAGATCTGATGCCATCTAAAACCACTGGCTTTTTAGGGTTAAAAATGAGCAAGCAGTGAGCCACAAGGCTGTCACTTTCTAAAGCACGGCCCCTTCAGTGGGCTATGTAGAAGTCTATGGTCACCAGCGTGTCCTCAGTTAGATGGCCCTACCTCTGTCCATATAGGCCTGGTCAGGGAGCCAGAGACAGGGCAGGGTGAACTGGGAGTGCCCCCCCATCTCTCATGAGCACATTCATGTGGAGGGTGTCACTATCTTGTAGTTTCACATGAAGCCCCTGCGCCCCAGCCCCCACCCCAATACTAGGTGAGGAGACTAGGTGGGGGGTGACTTTAGGAGCAATCGGAGAGCGAAACCAATTCCTCTCTTTGCATGCCTCCACGTGGCTGATGCACCCAGCCGTTCCCTATCATCCTCCACTGGGTGTGGCATGCATGGGCTGCTGCCCTGCCTTCCTCACAGCTACGTAGCCCCTGCTCAGATGGGCTGTGACTCTTGGCAGGTGCTAGTTGGTACCAGGATGCAGGAAGGAATCTGAAGAACTCTGGGAGGTTTTTACAGGTTGTGGACACACCGGGTTTGCATTTCCCTGGTTATAGACAGCAGGTGGAAGGAAATGGGGACAGTTATGAGATGTCATATCTGCTCAGACTAGGGGACTGAGCCAGTTGTGGGGGATTTGGGCAAGGGAAAGGACCATATTTGGGGGTCTGAGGGAATGTGAATGTCAAGGAGGAGTGGAGAGGGGCCAGAAAGATGGCTCAGCAAATAAAGATGCTTGCTGATAAGTCTGATGGCCTGAATTTGATCCCTGGACCTACAAGGTGGAGGAAGGGAACTGGCTCCTCATAGTTATCCTCTGATCTCTGCATTCTTGTTGTGGCGCGCGCGCGCACACACACACACACACACTATATGTATGTAGCTAAAAGAAAAAAGTTGAGTGGAGAAATTCAGCTTGCGCAGAGTGGTGGGTACTTGAGTGTGACCCCTAATACCATCAAAATGGTGTGTGTGCATGTATACAGGGCTCTGCATCCCTCATATCTGCACGGAATATGCCTCTTAGCATATGAATGATTGAAATGTGGGTGGGTGGGGCGGCAGGGCTCAACTGGCGGACTGAGGGGATATGGAGGGAATTAGAGGCTATGGGGTAAATTGAACTTTGCCTGGCAAAACCAGTAGGGAAGACCAGTGAACTGGGACCCCCAAGTTTAGGGACAAAGGCAGGTCTTTAGTCTGTATTCCTTGGTTGGTCTGCCTAGGCTACCCACTGGTACCGGTCCCCATGCTTGGACTCTGTTGGTCTGACTGACTATGGGGACCCTTTAGTCAGCCATGAGGAGGAGCCTATTGCTGGGTGTGGAGGCCGGGGCATGAGCAAGCCCTCGCTTTGCTTCCCACCCCTCCCCTCCTTCCTGCCTTCCCTTCCTCTCTGCTGGCTCCGAGAACAGCAGCTATGGATAGGTACTGCATGGAGGAGCTGATCCAGCTGGGCCAAGGTAGGGGACAGCAGTAGTGGAGGCTCGGGTAGAGGATAGACAGTGAGGACCAAAGTCTCTAGCTGAGGTTGGGCTCTCCATGGCAGGGGGCAGGTCCCTGGGTGGAGTAGGGTGGGGTGGTTTCCCCTACTGGTAGTTCTCTCATGACCTCAGGTACGACTTAGGGATGGCATGGCTCCTCACGGCTAGCCCAGGGTGTGTGGAATATGGGGCAGGGTGCCCAGGGCAGGCTGAGTGGTAGAGGGGCTGCCCAGAGCCAGGGACTATCTTTGGGGGCTGTCACTGAGGCTGTGGAGACACAGGCTCTGCAGAGGCTTCTGAGCTCCTGCAGAACCCCGCCTGCCTCTCTCTGTCCCTGCTCACGACTGGCCAGCAGGGGTCTCTTTAGAGGCCTGCCCTTGGGACTTCCAGGGGTCCTATCCCCGCCCCAGTCAGTCCAGTCCCTGGCTGCCCAGAGCTGGCCACCACAGGGTAGGTTTCTTCAGAAATGAGTTTCTGGCATGTGGTACAGAGGAGCAGGAGGCTGTGGTAGGCCCAGTGTGAGCAGGGGGCCTCACCTCAGCAGTCAGGGTCCACGGCTGGCTGTGCTGTGCTGTGTTGATGGAGAGTCACTTGACCTTGTGGAACCTCAGGCCAAGCTCATCACTGTTTCCGTGCCTCAGTTTCCTCATCTGAATAGCGTTCTCATTGCCTAAGACTTTATAGGATGTCCTCAAGATTATAATAGAGTGGTGCTCGACACGGGAAGGTTACAGCGTGGAGGACAGACTGGTTCCTCAGCCGTCTGTCAGTCAGGGTCTCCCCTCCAAACAGATGCATGCACACAGGCTGCTTGTTTCTCAGGAAGCACTGGGGTCCAGGTCAGTATTGCATATGGCGGATGTATTCTGGGCCTGCTTGCTGACCTGTGGGGACACTGTGTCTCCACAGACCTCCAATGCTGGGACTCTGAGGGGTACCAGAAGGAGAGGCCTGGGGTGGGAGGTGCAGCCTGATGGGGGCAGGTGAGTGAATGTTCCTGTGACTTAGGCCCCAGTTTTGGGCTGCCTGGCTTGTAGTGTGACCTTGGAGGAGCAGTCCTGTCTGCCCTGGGGCCAGGTGTTGTGTTGAGTGACTCGGAGCACAGAGCTCTCTGGGAGGAAAGGGGCTGTGCCTCTTTGGCCCATGTGGCATTTCCCAAGAGCACCCTATAAATTAGACAGGGCAGCACCCTCTCCCAAGGGAACATGAGCCTGAGTCCACTTCTGCCTCTATCCATGGTAGATCCTGGTGCCAGGGACCTCCTTATTATAGTATCACCCATGGGGGTGCTGGGGAGGGGAGGACAATGAGGTGGGGGAGCTACGTGTTGTGGGGCCACCGAGCCAGATGGGACTCCAGTGAGCCTGGGCTCCATACGTCATGTACTAAGTCTGGACAAGTGACGGGCGTTGCTTGCCCTCCTTGGATATTTATATCCCCCTGGGCCCCCTGCCCATAGCTCCTCTCCCCTCCCCCAACTTCTGCTGACAGGGCTGGAAAGCTGTGCCCTCCTCCAGCCTCAGCACTGCCGCTGCAGGCTTCTGCCTCAGAGGGGCCTGTGACCCTCCCCACGCCCCTTGCCCGCTCCCTGTTCGCCCCGTGGGCTCCTGTCGCTGTCCCCAATGAAGATCGTGCCCGGTAGGTGGGGCAACCCTTCAGAGTCTTTTGGGAACCCCGCTAGGCTGGAGGCCATGGCCTCTGTCTCCCTCTGTATACACCGGGCTGCCTAGCCTCACTGGCCTCTCCCTCAGACCCTGTCCAAGATCGCACATGGGAGCTTGGGGCTTGTGAGGAGCCCACCCGTCTTTCAGCGTGGTGGGGGTCAGCTGTAGGCCTGGGGAAGGGCAGTGAGGGACTGGGCACTGACATCCATTCACCCTCTATGCTTGGTGGCTGTTTCCAGAGGGCACCCTTGGAAGTAGACTAAGAGTTTGGGTCCTCCTCCTGATGGGGACGAGGAGTGCTGGTTAGGCTTGACTTGGGAGAGAGGATCAGTGTTGAGTCTGCCCAG